GCACTGTAAAAAACAAAAGAAATAGTATTTTTCAGTTCACCTAATACAAGTACTGTAGTGCAACATCTTTATCATGAAAGTTGAATTTACAAATGTAGAATTATGTACAACAAAAACTGCATTCAAATGAACAATGTAAAACTTTAGACCCTACGAGTCCACTCAGTCGTACTTCTTGTTCAGCCATCACTCAGTGACACACAAGTTTGTTTACATTTGCAGAAGATAATGCTGCCTGCTTCTTGTTTACAATGTCACCTGAAAGTGAGAATGGGCATTTGCATGGCACTGTTGTAGCTGGCATCACAAGATATTTACATGCCAGATGCGCTAAAGATTCATATGTCCCTTGATGTTTCAACCACCATTCCAGGGGACATGTGTCCATGCTGATGATGGGTTCTGCTCGATAAAAATCCAAAGCAGTGCAGACCGACGCATGTTCATTTTCATCATCTGAGTCAAATGCAACCAGAAAAAGGTTGATTTTCTTTTTTGGTGGTTCAGGTTCTGTAGTTTCCGCATCAGAGTGTTGCTCTTTTAAGACTTCTGAAAGCATGCTCCACAACCCATCCTGATCAGATTCTGGAAGTTACTTCAGATTCTTAAATCTTGGGTTGAGTGCTGTAGCTATCTTTAGAAATCTCACATTGGTACCTTCTTTGCGTTTTGTCAAATCTGCTGTGAAAGTGTTCTGAAAACGAACAACGTGCTGGGTCATCATCCGAGACTGCTATAACATGAAATATATGGCAGAATGCAGGTAAAACAGAACAGGAGACATACAATTCTCCCCCAAGGAGTTCAGTCAGAAATTTAATTAACATGTTACTTTTTTAATGAGCATTATCAGCATGGAAGCATGCCCTCTGGAATGATGGCTGGAGCATGAAGAGGCATATGAATCTTTAGCATATCTGGAATGTAAATATCTTGCAATGCCAGCTGTAACAATGCCATACGAACGCCTGTTCTCACTTTCAGGTGACATTGTAATTAAGAAGTGGGCAGCATTATCTCCCGTAAATGTAAACAAACTTGTTTCTCTTAGCAAAGTAGGACTGAGTGGACTTGTAGGCTCTAAAGTTTTACATTGTTTTGTTTTGAGTGAAGCTATGTAACAAAAAAACCTACATTTATAAGTTGCACTTTCATGATAAAGAAACTGCACTAAAGTACTTGTATGAAATGAATTGAAAAATATCATTTATTTTATCATTTTTACAGTGCAAATATTGTAATAAAAATAATATAAAGTGAGCACTGTACACTTCGTATTCTGTGTTGTAATTGAAATCAATATATTTTAAAATGTAGAAAAACATCCAAAAATATTTAATACATTTCAATTAGTATTCTATTGTTTAACAATGCGATTAATTTCAATTAATTTTTTTAATCGTGATTAATTTTTTGAGTTAATTGCGTGAGTTAACTGCGATTAATCGACAAACCTATTTTATTTATATATACACACACACACACATATATACACACTTCTGTTAAGTCAGTAGATTCCACATTTGTGTTTGATTTCTCGTTTTCATACCTATCTGTTACATTTTATAGATCTGTATTGTGTCTCTCATTCTGCTCCAACATGTTATTTCTTAAAAAAACTAAAAATAAAAGGAATAAAAAGCTTCTGACTTGCTTAAATGACCAAAAAAAAGCTTATACTGCTTTTTATTCCTGTTAGGCCTGTAGAGCCAACAAAGATAAGAAAGTGAGCTGCATCATCAACGGAATTGTAAAGTAGGGTCTGCTTTACCCTGCAGAACCTTTATCATCAGTGATAAAAAAAACCCAACTTGATTCATGGAGCCTAGGTAGAATTTTCAAGACTCGCAGTTAGAAAAAACTTTACTTGTTAACTGAGCATATTTAACCAAAACAGAAAATATGGATCTCTACAATTTTAGTTTTACTTTTCAGAATAGACATAGGATTAAACATAGAATTTTGAGTAAATCAATGTTTTTTCAATACCTGATGTGTCAGTTTTTCATTTCCATATATTTCTTTTTATTCATTTTGATTTCTGATTTAATATCAAGATTTGTTAGTACCATATGTGAAGTGTTTTTACAATAAGAATCCAAAAAAAAAAGGGGGGGGCACGAATTGCTAAGCACTAATTCAGGGGTAGGCAACCTGCGGCACGCGAGCTGATTTTCAGTGCCACTCACCCTGCCCGGGTCCTGGCCACCTGTCTGGGGGGCTCTGCATTTTAATTTAATTTTAAATGAAGCTTCTTAAACATTTTAAAAACCTTATTTACTTTACATACAACGATAGTTTAGTTATATATTATAGCCTCATAGAAAGAGACCTTCTAAAACTGTTTAAATGTATTACTGGCATGTGAAACCTTAAATTAGAGTGAATAAATGAAGACTCGGCACACCACTTCTGAAAGGTTGCCAACCCCTGACCTATACGCTAATACTAGGAACATGCATAACAAATAGTATGAATGGGAATTGATCATTCATGAGCATAAATTTGATCTAGCTGGTATTATTGAAACCAGGTGCAGTGATTCACACAACTGAAAAGTTAAAATCAATGGTTATAACCTATTTAGGAAGGACCGAGTGGGCAAAAGAGGAGGAGAAGTCGCACTCTACATCAAAAATGGCCTTATTTGTTTGCAAGTCACAGATAACTCAGAAGAAAATCATCTTGAATGCTTATGGATCCATGTCCTAACAAATAAACCAGAAGAGGGGATACTAGTTGGTGTCTACTACAGACCATCAAATCACACTTAGAAACAAGATGACCACTTCCTATCTACAATGTGTACAAAAAAAATACTGAGATCATGTG